CATGCTGTTTTGTTTGTACCTTGTGTTCATACCTTGTCTTTGTTTGTCTTGTTTTATTGCAGTTGCTGCAATGATAGCCTTCCCCCGCTTGAACCAAACTCCATTCACAAAACAAGCATTTTTTAAAGTTGTGTGCTTGTCGTATTGCAGGCAAATCTGACAAGGCTTGAATTCAGAATGTTGACAACTCTGCATCATTATGTAGTTATTCCAGCATCCCTTCAGATCCGTTAATTACAATTACAGTAGATCACGGCAAAATCCGATTATGCAAAATCCACTTCAAGTCTTTTATACATAGATATGTGTCCCTCCCTGTGTTAAGAGATTCTAGAAGATTTACCTTTATTTATTCCTCTCGGGACTTGAGGCTTGCTCAAGGGCACCTCGGCAGAGCCCAGAAGGTCTATTCCGAGTTCTTCTTTGGTCCAATCGGGACGCAAACCGGCAACCCTTTGGTCCCAAGGACAGGTCCCTACAGACTGAGCGACTGCTGCCTTGTCCTGACCCATCTTTATAAAAACCTGTCTGAAAATGAGCTGATCAGATTTTGGCCATTTTGTGATGTCACACTGTTTTTTCGGGTTGTGCAACCATTAGACAATAACCAACCAAGGTAACGCCCACCTTATCCCCTGAATCTCCTCCTGGAGCACCATTGTGTTTCATCAAACCAATCATCTCTCAGAGGGGCGTGGCCAGCAGCAGCTCATTAGCATTTAAAGCTACAGACACATAATCAGCACTTTTGAAACAGGGCTGAAACAGAGGGGTATATCACACTACAACGCATGATCTTAGGTATTTCAGCCAAACACTTCGGAGACATGTTTTGCATATATCTGAGAATTATAATATATTGTTGTAAAAGAGTATAATAGGGGGCCTTTACCACTATAGTACACCACAAATAATAAGTGTGTGTGTGTGTTTAGACTCTGTTGCTCCTTTGAAAAAGAAGAAAATAAAACAACATAGATTAGCTCCGAAATGCCGAAACCCGCAAAAGTCGAGACAACTTGAAAGGATATGGCGTTCCACTAAACTTGAAGAATCTCGTTTAATTTGGCATATTACTCTCAATGAATATAAGAAAGCACTGCGTAAAGCGAGAGCAGCCTACTACTCTTCATTAATAGATGAGAATAAGAATAATGCAAGATTTATTTTCAGCACTGTAGCCAGGCTGACAGAAAGCCACAGCTCGATTGAGCCTTCTATTCCCATAGCACTCAGTAGTAATGATTTTATGTGCTTTTTTAACGATACAATTGTTACTCTTAGAAACAAAATTAATGACCTCTTGCCTTTGACCAGTATAGTGTTATCAACAGCTCCCGTAAGTTATAATATTACACTAGATCAGTGGTTCTCAAACTCAGGCTCCCCCTTTGGAGAAAAAAGTTGGCCCCCCCAACACAAATAGTCAGGCTCAGTGGCGGCGCCAGAGATTTATTTTGGGGGTGCTGTGGGGTAGCTTGACGTTTCATAGAGGGTGCTCAAACATTTAGGGTTTCCCATTAATGTACCGGTCGCTACAGTGGAATGTTCTACTGCAACACTCCCCACGCATACTGTATACACAGTGTACCCGCGACTGTTACAATGAAGGCTCGATAATCAGCTCACGGCATATAGGTGTAAGCATATGACTAACATTAAAATCTCAAAGGGAGTTTTTCGCCCACACACTCCCCCTCTGCCTGAAACGCTAATTACATCACTATGTAACATTTGCACTTCTATTGGCTAGCAACCAAACATACAAATATGAACCTGAAAATTAGCATAATGCCCTCTTTCTCTTATGGCTGCTCTCAATTAATCCATTATAATAATAATAACAATAAATTGTATTTGTAAAGCACCTTTCATTGCTAAAAGCAATCCCAAATTGCTACAGTAGGCGTAAGAAACAAATAAAAGAAACACAAGTTTAATCAAAGGCTTTTTTTAAAAGAAAGGTTTTTAAGCAAGTGCATTGAGCACATCAATGACTGGATGAGTCAGAACTTTCTCCAATTGCACAAACAAAAAACTGAGATCATTGTTTTTGGAGCAAAAAAGGACCGATTAAAAGTAATCGTAGAGCTTCAGTCGGCAGACTACAAAACAACTAATAAAGCAAGAAATCTGGGTGTAGTGATAGACTCAGACCTGAATTTCAACAGCCACATTACAACAGTTATTAGGTCTGCTTATTATCACCTGAAGAATATATAGCGGATTAAAAAACTAATGTCACAACAGGATTTAGAAAAGCTTGTCCATGCTTTTATCTTCAGTAGACTGGACTACTGCAATAGTGTATTCACAGGGCTCACTAAAAAATTCAACTATTTAAGCTGATTCAGAACGCTGCTGCTCGAGTCCTCACTGACATTAAAAGAGTGGATCACATCAGTCCGGTTCTAAAGTCTTTACACTGGCTTCCAGTCGGTCAAATAAATGATTTAAAAGTATTATTGCTAGTTTTTGTTTTTTTAGAAATGGTCGAGGATCAAAGTATATTAACGATCTCCTGCATAATTATGAAACATCAAGGTGTCTCAGGTCTTCTGGGACGGGTCTGCTCTCGGTGCTGAGAGTAAGAACAAAACATGGAAAAGCAGCGTTTAGCTTATGCCCGACAATCTGGAATAAACTGCCCGAAATGCACGTCCGCAGAGACTCTTAGTATTTTCAAATCGAGACTGAAAACATATATTTTTGCCGCTGCTTTTGCTTTCACTGGAAGCAGTGGCGGCGCCAGAGATTTTCTCTAGGGGGTGCTGTGGGGTAGCTTGACGTTTCATAGAGGGTGCTCAAACATTAAGGGTTTCCCATGAATGCACCAGCGCTACAGTTGAATTTTCTACTGCAACACTCCCCACACGCACACACAGTGTACCCGCGACTGTTACAATGAAGGCTCGATAATCAGCTCACGGCATATAGGTGTAAGCAGGGGTAAAGTGCTATTTTTACAAGTGGGGGGTGGCTCACCTCCTCTAGGGGGGTCCTCACCTCCTCTAGTGGGGTCCAGGGGCATGTTTCCCCCGGGAAGATTTTTTTAAATATTGAAGTTAAAAGCAATAAACTGGTGCACTTTGAGAGCAACGTGAAGAGATCTATGGATACATCTCTCAACATCCATATGACACAGAACTGTAAACAGATTTTCTATTTCTTTATAGATATTTTTTAAATCACTCCCCTTTTAAAACAAACCGTTTGAGACCCACTGAGATAACTAGACTAAAGTTAACTATCTAAACACTGAGAGCCCTTTACTTCACCTGAGCTGAGGTAATCTGAGACTATCCGTATGGGAGGAGAGAGTTCTCCCTCCACCTTGTTGTTGAAAAAGCTCCTAATAACCGTTAGCTAGCACCAGATGCTAACCACAACGATCTCCGGTAGAGGCGAGCTCTCTCTCTCGCTCGCGCACACAGGCAAACAAAATGGCTCGTGCCACACACACACACACAACACACACACACACACACACACACACACACACACACACACACACACACACACACACACACACACACACACACACACACACACACACACACACACACACACACACACACACACACACACACACACACACACACACACACACACACACACACACACACAGAGAGCAGAGCTTGAATGAAACACAGAGACCAGAGAAGCTACTTGTAGGCTACTCACGACGCTAGGCTATTATGTGCAGAATCCCTCTCGCTTTCAGGTGGTTTTGATTGAGTGTCCACACGTGGACGTTTAAGGACTAAAAAACGATCCATCTTTCACTTTGCTGTTAGCAAATAATGTGGTGCTCGAGCTAGCTAACAGGAAGTCACTCAAGTGTCAAAGTAATTTAGCCTATGGGTAGGTCAAAAATCGAATGGGTGCTGGCCATTGGCCTAATCATATCACCTGTGTTGGCTTTATGTTTTTGGTCAAAAATGTGTTTGTTTCACATTTGCATTGATGTAATCAATAATGTTTCTAATTTAATAAAAATAATAATAATAATAATTTTCGAAAAAAAGAAAAAAACATATTTCTTGGGGGTGCTTAGGGGGTGCTTTGGCAATCCTGGGGGGTGCTTCAGCACCCCCTAGCTCCCCCCTGGCGCCGCCCCTGACTGGAAGTCATCTCACCAGTTGTGGATGACAAAGACTCAATGGCAGAGCAAGATGCTAATCAGGAGATGGGAGAGGAGAAGGAAGAACCAGCACCTGCTGAGGACCAGGAACAGCCTGAAGAGAGTGGACCTGTTAATGTGGATACAGAAATAATGCCCAGCGCAGCTGTGTCGGCGACTGTTGTGGAGGAGAAGCAACAGGTCCACAAAGCCTTAGCAGCAACAGAAGAGAATAACGGGGAAGAAACGCTCCCTGACAAAAGCCCAGAACATTTTTAAAGACCCCACTCATCCTCACTGTTCTCCCTGCTGCCCTCCGGCAAGAGGTTCCGCAGCATTAAGAGCAGAACAGCCATATTCTGTAATAGCTTTTTCCCCCATGCCATCAGACTGCTGAATATTAAGTAGACCAGTAACATAGAGATTACATTACGCTGTGTAAAGTGTTAGAAATTAAAATCAATGTTGATATGGCGTAATTTGAATTAAATACACTATTTTATTTAAATCAGTTTTATTCTGAAAAAACCGGAAGTTCACACTAACTATTAACTTAACACTTTTATTCTGAAAATGATTCACTTCCGGTTAGCATTAGCATGTGGCGAAATGCTACGTATTCAAACCGTGAATTGAAGGTGAAATGACATGTGATGTTGTACACTAAACACACTGGGATTAGCACTCATTTATTGACGCTGAATAACGTTTATCAGGGAATGTTTAAATAACCACAGACACCAGAATGATGTAATTTAGCAACAGAAAAAGGCAGGAATTGCATTTGACCCGCCCCCGACGCCGCCGGCCAATAGGAGAAGACCTCGGATGACCACAGGAAGAGCAAGCCAAGAATCGACCTCTTCTTCCCCCTGACCTGGGCTGACCGGACGCATGGGGAGAGCTGCCACTCGCACATTTCATTTGTCCACCACCGCATCTTTTGTGTAATTAAATGCTGTTAACTTTTAACTGTTAACTTCCCTTGACTCTTTTCAGTATGTCCTGGTCTCAAGGTTCAAGAATTGCTAACAAAAGCGCACATATTTTCTATATAGTATGTCTATTTTATTTATATGTATAGTAAGTCTTTATATTTTAAACGCACACTTTATGTTTAATTTTATCAACGGCCTTACAGACTGCATCACGGACTATATTAACTTCTGTGAGGAAAACGTCGTACCCACCAGGACTGTACGGTGTTTTCCCAACAACAAACCCTGGATTACCCCTGGAATAAAAGGCTCTCCTGAAGGACAAAAAGAGGGCCTTCAGATCTGGCAACAGAGAGGAGCTGAAGACTGTACAGAGGGAGCTGAGGTGGAAAATCAGAGAGGGGAAAAACAGCTACAGGAAGAGGATGGAGGAACAGCTGCTGCAGAGGAACGTCAGTGGAGTCTGGAGAGGCCTGAAAACCATCTCTGGCTACAAAGAGCCAGACTCCCAGGTCCGGGGGGACCACCCGAGTGGGCAAACGACGTGAATAACTTCTTCAACAGATTTGGAAGAATCCGACCCATCCCCCCCTGCTGCACCCCCCACTGCCCCCACTGCCTGGAAATGGCCCTGTCATCTCTCCCACCTCTACTCAACCCCGGTCATCAGCTCACAGACACCTCTCACATCAGCCCCTGGTTCTTCTCCACCCGCTGACGACACCTTGTCCTTCACAACCAACCAGGTGAGGAGGGAGCTGCAGAAGTGTAAGGCGAGGAAAGCGGCGGGTCCAGATGGCATCAGCTCGAGGCTTCTATTCAACCTGAGACTGAAGCAAGGGAGGGTACCACAACTGTGGAAGACGTCCTGTGTGGTACCTGTGCCAAAGACCCCTCGCCCCAAGGAATTCAACAGCTACCGGCCGGTGGCGCTGACATCACAGCTGATGAAGACCCTGGAGAGGCTGGTCCTTGGACACCTCCGGCCCATTGTGGCACCATCAATGGACCCGCTGCAGTTCGCCTACCAGCCTGCCATCGGGGTGGATGACGCCGTCATCTACCTACTGCAGAGGTCCCTCTCCCACCTGGAGAAGCCTGGGGGGGGCACTGTGAGGATCATGTTCTTTGATTTCTCCAGTGCCTTCAACACCATCCAGCCCCCGCTCCTGGGGGACAAGCTGCAGCTCTCGGGGGTGGATCACCACCTCACCACCTGGATCCTGGTCTATCTCACCAACCGCCCACAGTACCTGAGGACCAGGGAGTGTCAATCAGACACCATCGTCAGCAGTACGGGGGCCCCTCAGGGGACGGTGCTGGCACCGTTTCTCTTCACCCTCTCCACTGCAGACTTCACCCACAACACTGCAACCTGTCAACTGCAGAAGTTCTCTGACATCTCCGCCATTGTTGGCCTCATCACCAACGAGGACGACAGGGAGTACAGGGAGCTGACGCAGGACTTCATCCTCTGGTGCCAGAGGAACCACCTCCAGCTCAACGCAGGGAAGACCAAGGAGCTGGTGGTGGTTTTCAGACGGTGCCAACACTCCCCCCCCAATACCAGTGAACATCCAGGGAGCGGACATTGAAATTGTGAAATCTTACAAATACCTGGGTGTTCATCTGAACAATAAACTGGACTGATCATTCAGCTGCTCTGTACAAGAAGGGACAGAGCAGACTCTTTCTGCTGAGGAGACTGAGGTATTTTGGGGGGCAGGGGGCACTCCTTCAGACATTCTATGACTCTGTTGTGGCATCAGCCATTTTATATGGTGTGTCCTGCTGGGGCAGCAGCATATTGGCTGCTGACGGGAAGAGACTGAACAGACTGGTAAGGAAGGCCAGCTCTGTCCTGGGGAGTCCTCTGGACACTGTGGAGGTGGTGGGAGACAGGAGAATGGCAGCCAAGCTGTCCTTCCTGCTGGACAATATGTCCCACCCCCTCCAGGACACCCTGTCCTCACTGTGCAGCTCCTTCAGCGAGGGGCTGCTGCACCCCTGCTGTCACACAGAGAGATACCGCAGGTCCTTTCTTCCTGCAGTGGTTAGACTTTACATCATATAATAACTTAGTACTTTTTTCTTAACATAAGTAAGCTTAAGCTGTCTGTGGCTCTTTCCTGCTGTAACGATGCAAATTTCCCGTCTAATAATTCTGATTCTGACTCTGTTTCCTGCGTCTCCTAGTCGTACACTTAGAAAAAGTAACCAGAGCAAAGTCCAATTTACTACACCTCGAAGAAGTTCTCGTAACGCTAACCCCTCGATTCCACCGGGTCCGTCTGCGTCGCGGTTTTGGTCCGGCCTCCTCCGGCGTCATACCCTACCGGGCGTGTTTCAGAAGCATTTCAGAAGCGGAGCGTCTTGCCTACCGGCTCGCAGTTTTTGTTGATTTGGGCATATTTCCTGGACAGGCTACTTTGTACAGACAAAGTTAATAATAATTGTAATATCCCAGTTATAAACGACATGAATCAAAGATGTGTTGCTGTATTTTAGTGGTAAAAAAATGCATTCATCATCACAATTATTCTATATTGTTACGACGAGCATTTATTGACAGCACAGCCGTCAATTTAATGCCAACCGGCAAAAGGAACAAAGTCTGGAGGATGGCAAAACCAAACAAAAAGGAAGAAGGGGGAGACAGAGAAAAACAACACAGAGCACGTAACTTATATATATATAATGTATACAGTTCCTGTAAACCGGAGGAGAACGCTGGCATTTCTCCTCCTACTTGAAAGACTACGGAGGGATAGGGTCTACAAAATTTGTTTATTTTGGGGGTGGGCCGGATGCTCTGACCGGTCCACTTCCTGCCCGGCCTCTGCAACGCCTCGCGTCGAAAATAGACTTGCATCCTATTTTGAGCGGAGCCCAGCGCCGAGACGCTTCTGGGACGCTTCTGAGCCGTAACGCGGCGCGTCTGGTGAAATAGCACCCATTGACTAGAGTGGCCGCGATCTTTGCGAACGCCGCGGCGCAGCCGTAACGCGGCCGTAACGCGACGCAGACGGACCCGGTGGAATCTAGGGGTAAGCCAGAGTCTCCAAAATAAGATGTTAAAGAGGAGATCGCCATGAATATTGACAACACAACGACTTCACCAGCCAGACGTCGGGTTTCCCCCCGCTTTTTTTTCCTTTCCGGTTGATCATATGCGCACGGCAGTATGCATTTTATTCATGTATTGTATAACTGTTGTGTTTAATTTATTATCTTTGCTTTTTAAATGCCTGTTGTAAAATACCATTATATAATGTGTTTCTGCTGTATTTATTCTTAAACGTCTTTTATTTTATTTTGTAAAGCACTTTGAATTGTCGCGTGCTGAATGGGGCTATATAAATAAACTTGCCTTGCCATGCCTTGCCTTTTCTTAAAGGCGTCAGTGGTCTGTGTGGAGTCCTCAGGTGGTCTGGGAGGGAATTCCACAGGTGAGGAGCAGCTGCACAGAAAGCCCGATTATAAACTTCAGTGACCTTGTTTTAATATCATGAGAGAATATTTGACATGTTTAGAATTAAACTATAGTGTTGCCTGAGCGGGAGGCGATATGAAACAGAACTGGATGCAGAGCAGACAGAACATATTGTCTGCTTCTTCCAGCCATCTGCAGCTCCATTTTTTTAAACAGTAATCTGGTTGAGAACCACTTTATTGGGATTGTCAATGTCAACTAACCCAACCTTGTAGAAAGAATGTGAAAATTCATATCGTGAATATGAAAATGGAAGGTTCTGGTCATCCACATGGGTCGATTTATAACCAACGTTTTTGTGCAAGACTATCTGACCTTTTATAGTAACTTGTTTTTCTTTACAAACGTCTGCTTTCAGCCTTTTATCAATACAACAGTAGTACTTGTACCAGGGCATTCAGGGCTTTCATAGTCTCTGGACAGGCGAAAGTACATTTGTCGAATCATCTTTTTCAAAGTCTTAGTATTTGCCAAAAGCTGCTGCTGGACAGTTTTTCAGTCCGTTGGTTTTATTGAATTTCAGCCCAGGTCCACCGTCCCAGACATGCAATGAATTCCTGCTCACATCTTCCTCCCTCTACTGATTTGCTCCAGTCATTTGCTCTGGTGATATTGGCATGGGTTCCATCTCAGGTATTTGCAGAATGACCTTGTGCAAGAGAAAATGTAATGATAATTGCATCAAACAACAAAACCACAATGAGACGAGGCATGAGTGTCTGTGATGGTTATAAACAAAAAGTGCTTGTTTTCTGATTACGGCCTCACTGCAGGCCACACACACACACACACACACACACACCTGAATGCTTTGTTGAGTAAGCTACCATTTAAGGGTAATGCTCTATCTTTGATTTGTGTTATCTAATGTCTGTGATTTTCTGTCTGTATCGATGGCAAGTGTGTGTGTTAGTGTGTATGTGTGTGCGCATGCCTTTCTCTCAGTGTGTGTGTGTGTCTGATTTAAGTAGCTCTGGTCCATTAGTGGAGGCTGCTGTAAACAGCTGTGTGTTTTGGTCTCAGGTGGAATGAGCAGCGGTTGAGGCTCCTCATCAAACCCCAGGGAAGACACATTGTTAGTACGGAGTGGATGTGCATCTTTCATCATATCCTCTGCCTTTTAATAACTATAATCTACATGTAATGGTATACATTATTAACCTCTAAAGTGGACTTAACTCACCTTTAAGCCTTGTATGGTGTTCGGGTCTGTGGGACCCGTTTTCATTATTTAGCTAAAGAAAAATGATATGATCAATTATTTTTTCAAACCCACACTCAGTGGCCTTGGCTCATTTTCTGTGAAGAACATATATCAGAACACATTTTCAATGACCACCCACTGTACCCCCCCCCCCAACACATTTACATTACATACAGGGTGTTCGGGTCTAACAAAGGAGTGAAAATTGTAGGTCCTGTGCACCTGTCTGGGCCTTGTGTGTGTGTGTGTGTGTGTGTGTGTGTGTGTGTGTGTGTGACTTTTGTGTTTCTGCCCATGCCATTCTATGGCAACACAAGGTTGCAACATTGTTGATAAATTCAAGCACGGACACCAGTCTGCTCTCACATTCCCACATTATGTCTTGTGGGAACCAATCTTTATATTTTTCACACTCTATCCAAGCTGTACATTCGGGGCAAGACACAATCAATTTGCCAGTTTGGGTCAGTATCACAACTGATCAAGATGAGGATGAGATTGAGCATCAGTACTTGCAAAAACAAGACGAGCCACAGGACCAGCCGGTCAGCAGGCCAAAAATCAAGTAGCACTTTAATTCATTAATGTGATCTAACAAATATAAAAGGGCAAATATTAACCATATATGCTGTTTATATTGCTTGTAATTGGGATGAAGTAAACATCTGTCTGAAGTAAAACAGTCTTTTAACATAAAATAGTGCATGTTGTGTTGAATTGAAGCCCAAAAAGGCAGCGGGTCCACCAGACCCACGAACACTGGCTGAGTAACACAAATATGAGTTACTCAAATAAAAATGATATAAACAAAAGTATAGGCCCTTTAAACAATGAGCTATCTATTTATAATATAAGTAAACAAAACGAAGGCCACAGATTATCACAGTCACAGAACCATATGGGCACTGAAGGCGAAAATAGTGAGGCGTCTAGTCACAAGTCACAGAACATACACAAACATTTTAGAGAGTAGAGTAGCGTGGCGTCCTGGCTCAAATCCAGCGCCCCGAATGACAGCAGCGTCGCAGCTTAAATAGCGTCATCCAGCGTCGTCCAGACCTCTTCCGGTGGGAGGAGCTAAACAACGTCACGCCAACGCGGTAACCATAGTACCTAAAGGCAGTCATATACACACACACGCACACACACACACACACATACACGCACACACACACACACACACACACACACACACACACACACACACACACACACACACACACATATACACACACAGACTGCTCACAGGCCGGTTAATGCAGAAGGCAAGGCGACAGCCGTCACAAAAGGGAAAACCCCAAAAAGCATAATAGGGCCTCTTTAAATAGAACAATCTTATGAGCACATATTCAACAAACACAAGACTTGAGGTGGTCTTTTGATTTAATAACTAATTGCTCAGTCAACAAAATTGTAAATTGAGTGTAAGTCAACTAAGAATATTTAGTCTATTTAGAATCTATTCAGCCCTAAACCACAGAGAAGTGTACATGTTCCCATTTTTGAATGGGCAGTGTGTTATAAAAAAAGATGAAGTAATAATAATAATAAAAATGGTTAGGGTGAAGATATTGGAACAGGGGGGGTTCAAAAGATATAGCCAACTGATGCTTTATTTAGTCATCTCTAATGTTTATTAGATTCTCGCCCCCTGGGGAGAAAAGGAGATGAAAGACAGGTCTGCACCCTGCTCCATCATTCTACTTCATGATATTAGTAGTACATGTATTAATAGCCTGCTAAGAGGAGTACATCACCACAAGAGGGCACCACCTCCACAACATATATATATGAGGCTGGAGAGGCAGTCAAAGGACGGGGCAGAGAAAGAAGTGATGAGGACGGGAAAGGGGAGGCAGAATAGAGGACAGGAAGAGGGAGTGTGAAAGCATGGGAGATGGAAATATAGGACATAGAAAGGAGGGGTGAGGCTAGGAGCAGGAGGCGATTGAGAAAAGAGAACGGAAGGTAAGAGAGGGAGAGTGAGGCATTTGAAATCCAAGTGAAAGAATGAAATATGACATTACATTTATTTTAGCTGATGCTTTTATCCAAAGCGACTTAAGTGCATTCAGCCATGGAGAAACAAACTCTGAAATGCAAGAAACCTGCAGGTACATTAGCTTTCAATGTGCCAAATCAATGTAAGTGCTTCTGCATTGGCTTCAGAAGAGGGTTGCTTATTGTGAACATATTTTATTTATTTACTCATAATTATTCTCAGCGATTTGAATATAAATAGTATCTATTTAACATGCTGCTGTCCAAAATCTACACATATTTGTAATTATAAATTTGCGCTGACATTCACTGACATAATACATCCCCTAGCAACTTATCCATACCTGAATCTAACATTTTCTCTCAAATGTATTGTAACCCTTACATTTATTTGAATCCTTAAACTTAAGACTAAAACATATTCTAACCTTACACTTAGACTAACCTGACCCTTACACGTTTCTAATCCTCATCCTATTTACAACTTTCCACTACAACATATTCAAACCTGATAATATGACTTATTCCAACCTAACAGTAAAACGTATTCTTACCAAACCCTTAAACTTCTTAACAGTAAAACCTTTTCTAACCCTAGCCTAAAAACGTATTCTTATTTA